GATTATAGAAAAGACCTCAACCTGTCAATATCGTTTATAAAACTTATTGATCTTTTACCAATCTTTTCTATTTCTTATTCAACTTGGTTAGTCATTTTTACTAATCAAGTTTATTGATATTTTATTAGCCCATTTCTTGTTTCCAATTCAATTTTACACGGTGCCGGTGTGCGTGTCCCGTTGACCCAGAATCCATGTCCACACCCACACCCTTTTCTATTTTAATATAAAATCCAATGAAAAAAAGAAAACCAAGTTATCTGGTATGATTCCAATTGAACAATCATTGACATTACGATTCTTGATATTGAATAGATCAAAATCATCGATGACAAATCTTTTTGACTTGTATTCTTCTTGAAATAAAAAGCATTTTTTTATCTAGTTCTGAAAGAAAATGTTTTTTTATGACAACAAGAGATTTAAGAGTTCAGGGTGTCGGGTGTGGGTGGGTGTGCATGTGGATGTGGGTGTATGGGTGGGTGGAGTGTGGGTATGAGTATGTGTATTGCCTTCAACTATACGCACACCCACACCCCACACTTCACACCCTTAGCTGTTCCATCATCTGACCAAGAACTAATGGAGTATATTGCTTTGAACGATATATTACAATTAGATGATGACGTTTTAATGTTCTGGAAGAATAACCAGAACAAGTTTCCGATTCTTTCATCAATCGTAGCAGATATATATAGTAGTCCAGCTTCAAATACTACTGTCGAACGTCTGTTTTCATCAGCTGGTTATACTATTTCCAATCGTCGAACCAACTTAAACCCGACAAAGAAAACAAGCTATTATTTTTAAACAAAAATCTATTATTGCTAAAAGAACTTGATCGTTATCGTCAACAATTAGTAAGTACGCAAAAAAAAGAAAATTACCTGCAACATCAACATCTTCATCATCAAACAACGTTTACATTCACAATGAACAAGAACAATTATCGTCAACATCATCATCAACAACCAAAAAGATTCGAGTTTTTGACGATGATTTGTTTAGCGATGAAGACATTTGTAATAAAGATAGTGATATATCTATTGAAGACGGTGAACAAGATTAAAAACGAAATGTTAACTTTGTTTATGATAAAATAGGTGCTATATATCTAGGTGTAACCAAAACATGTTATTCACATTCGTTTTTTCTTCCATTTTTCTTGTTCTTTTCAACTTCATTTGTTATTTGTATTTGAAATGACTTTTTAATTACAAAATTAAAAATAGCCAAGAAATTTTGAAACAGAATACAGAAAATATTATACGTTGACCTGAACTCTTCAATATTTAGATACGTAGTTGAATGCAAACCGGGTCTAAAAGTAAATCATATATGGACCCGGACCCGGATGACATTAACTTTTTGGACCCACATCCGGCCGGGTCTGGGCGGATCCGCTACTCTCTACTGATCAACCTATCGACGAATTATACTATTCACCTCCAGCATATTTTCTTGATGGAATAGATGTACCAAGTGATGACGCTACATATACTGATTCGAACATCTCAACACCACCAGCACAAGCTGGTATTGAACAATCGATGCTTGACGTAATTACACAATTACGACAATTAAATAGTACTAGTTTAAATCTCAATAGTAAAATCGATCGTTTACAATATCTTATCATCGGAGGATTCGTAAGTATAAAAATTACGAAAAAAACATATTATTTATTTCATCGAATAAATAATTGGTGCATTTACAACTTTGTTAGTGGCAAAGAAATAACTGATTTTATATGATCAAGTTTTTTTTATGATCAAAAAACGATAAACAAAAGAAGTAAATTAATTTTATGTTATCAGGTTTTTTTTGTGATCAAAAAACGATAGTCAAAAGAAATAAATTGATGAAATAGTAACAACAATTTGAAAGTCTTTAAAATTGTCAAGATTAGATTCATGAATTTGAAAGTTTAGAAAAGAAAAATAATGGAAGAAGATCTACGTCCAAACGTCAATCAAAAGTAAAAAATGAAACAGTATAAAAAAATACAAATATGCAAAATAGTGATGAAGATTATCAAAATGAGAAAGATCGATCAATAAGTACAGAAAATAACTGTTACTTAATGGTAGTAATAATAATAATGAAAAAATATCTATCGATAATAATATGAATGATCAAGATATAGTTGAAATAATTTATGAAAACGATCAAGTTGAAAGAATTGAAGCTGTACGAAATAATTAAGGTAACATACGATTTCGTATTTAATTAATTTTCGTTTCGGTTGATAAAAAACATTTTATTGTTAACTCATATACTTATTGTTCATTACATCTTATTTTTTGTCATAGAAAAAAAAAGAATAGAGATCTTTTATGTTTATTATATCAGATGTCTGCATCATCTTTGGTTAATAATTTTTTAGTACCATAATTAAAAGAGGTGACAATGATTAAAAAGAAGAAACTAAAAAAAAGATTTTATTTTTGTATATAGTTTTTATTGGAAGATAGGAAAAAAATACGCTTGAGTTTAGAAAAAATTGCAAAAGTAAATTTATTAAAAGACCGACATCGTTAAACTGAAAGAGTATGATTTTATCAATTATTGTATTAATTTGATTTTAGAGAGCATCAACAGCAAAAGATACGACTATTTACATCTTCTGTTGAGAAAGATACATGAATAATTGTTGAACTTTTAAGATAATCGTGTTTTTTATATAAAATAACTTGAGAGATATTATTAACTGATATTGAATTTCTTTCATTCATATTATCGGAAAAAAAAGAAAATGAAATGTAAGTTTGATTATAAAAGAAAATCTATCATGTCACCTTTATAATCTAGGTCATCTGATTCAGAATCAGAATAAGATCATCAAGTTATTCATGTAAGAAATTATAAAATGTTTAATTCACAAATCTTATCTTATTGATCTAATTTAGTGTCCTAATACAACGAACATCTATCACTGGATTCATACCGGTCCTCTACATGTTCCCATATACCGCTGTATTTATCGAAATTGTGCATTTGATTCAATGATTTTTGAATACAGTTGAATGCTCTTGATTTAATTCATGACGCAGGGGCGTATTATTGATATACCAATAATAAAAATAATTAATTGATAACATCATATACAACAATAAGACGCTTTCTTTGGAAACCAATGATCAATCAAATGAAGCAAAACTTATCAAACTAAGATAATCAGATATTTTCTTAAAAGAAACGTAGATCATTGTATACCCAATGAAAATATCAGATCGCATCAAATAGCTGAATCATTTGATCTATTCAATTCTATATCAAAACACCTCGATAGAGATGGAAAATCTATTTTTTTAGAAAATATTTTGTATTATATCTAAACAGTAGATACAAGAGATCAAACAATTTTCTAATAGTAAGGACACAATATATTTCAAAAAAAAAGAGAATCGAATCAGACAGTATTATGATACAACATATACATTAATAGATGTTAGATTGTAATAGGAAGATGATCTATAAGATGATAGAAAGCAGAATATCCAGTGTGAACAAACGAATAGAAATATCTGTTCTTTTAATTTCCATCTCTTTTTTATATATTCAACGGAATAAAAGAAGTCAATTTTTAAGACAAGATCAAGTGTGTACTTAAGAATGAAGACAACGGTTTGACAATATTTTAATAAAGTTAATCTACACGTCAGAGATTTATTATTTTATTTCATGTGTTACCAATTTGATTTCGGATTGTAACAGTGAATTAAACAAGCTATGAGACAGGAAGAAAGGAATAGAATAACAAAAATTTATTTTTCTTTCGATCAGACAACACATCGTCGTTACATGTTGGACGAATGATAGTAACTTGTATCTATTCGACTTTAATAAATAAATAATAGTTTCTTTTCTCTTCAATATAATCTGTAACGATTATCTTTCGTTGCACGTGGGCTACTGTACGGAACTTTTCATTAAATAAAATTTTTGATAATCGATTGTTCTCGATAGTTGATTTTTTCTAGACAATAAAATATTGCTTTTTTTTTCTACATTTTTCAGTTAATCATGGGTCGTAATTATAAATTGCAAACAACAACTGAAACATTAGCTATTGGAATTGAAGGTGATCGTCATTCATTATGTGGTGCTATTAAAAGATTTGAAGTTAATGGCAAACAATGGAATGATTTACTTACTCTTAAAGAACAATGTGCTCGTCGTATTGCTCTTATTAAAAATGAACAAATCAAATGGTTTATTACTGCTTATTTACCTCCAGATTTATTTAAATATGTAACAAAAGATATATTTAATTTACGACGACGTGAATTTAGATCAAATTATGCAAAACCTTTATATATGTGTCAAGAGTGTACAATGGATACCTGTGAAAGTTCATCAGATGATTGTCAATGTCCACAAATGGATGCTGCAATAGATGCCTTGAATAATTGTCTTTTCCAACAAATAAATAAACAAAAGACAATAAAAACTAATAAATCAAAAAAATTTGAACTTATTTATACGATACCAAATGATGAAATGGATCATAGTTATGAATTGAAAAGTCCAACATCATTTTTTCTTTATCTTTCACCATGCCAATACAATGCCGAAATTGATATGGATGATATGAATAATGGACCTTTTGATGAATATAACTTAATTAATTCTCATATATCTGCAAAAGACAAACTTTTATTTGTTGATGCTATGCGTTTTTTTGGAGGATTTCGAACTAAATATCAAGAACCTCAACTTATTTTTTATCGTCGTAGTGAATATGAACTTTAGAAATAGATGTTTTTAATTTAGATTTTGTTTGTATAGATGTTTTGAAATAATAAACTTATTCATTTTATTTGAAAGAAAAATATTCGATTTGATAATCCATATCAAAAAAAAATTTAAATCTTTATATATTTACATAAAGGAATATATTTATTAAACACTTTTTTAAAGTTGAATCATTGTTTTTTAGAGCTAGAGATCTGTTTAAGACATGTCCGTAATAAATCAATTTAATATTATGTGAATACTTCATTAACTATATCTGTTGGATTCGAAAAAAAATTACCGATTAATATTGCTATAATAACCTGCTAGAGATGTTTTATTGTTTCTGTTTCAGATTCTTATGCAGTTCAATGATAAATCATCATTGCTTACTTATACGAATAATAAATATTTGTATCTATTGGATTTCTATAAAACAGTAACGCTCTCTTTTCGCTTCGATAAAAGTTATAACAATCGTTCCTTTCTAGACACTGATCGTTAAATGTACACACTTTGTACAATTGATCGTATTGTTATTTTAGTTGATGCATAGAGACATGCAAACAAAATTCTATAGGCACATATTGATTTGTTTCAGATGGATACCATCTTAATGATTATCGTAACAACACTCGTTAACTTTTTTTTGTTAGCTTCGGTTCTTTTTTTATACTTAAATATTGTTCAATAACTTTTCAAAAAAATAAACTACGAAGTCTCTGTTAAGCTTTAACGTACTCTAAATGCAAGCGTTGTGTTCTTTTCATGATAATAACTTAGTTTTTTTTGACCATATTTTTATTATTTCGACTATTTTCTAAATTATAATTTTACAAAAACAAAAACATACTTATTGTGTATTCATGATAATGATAGTATCACTAAACTTAGAAAGTCATTCATAAATGGCTAAAAATTTATCTAGAAATATTCGAGTTTCATCATAATACATCAATATTTGTATGAAATCTACATAAGTGAATATCTATTGATATGTAAATTGTTGATAGTAGTTATTCTGTATTCTTCAATGCTATTATAGATCACTTATAAAGTTAAATATATTCAAAATCAATAAATCACATTCTACAGCGGAAACATCTAACACATAGTTTCATCTGATTTCTTTATATTTTTAGACAAATGAATATCAATGAATGACTAATATTGTTTTTAGTTTTAAATTACTACTTAATGATGTTCTTATTTGATTAAATTAACTTATTATATTTGTTGACTTCCATTTAGTTCTTTATTTTGTATTAATACAAGGTAAAATAGTTTTTTTGTAATTTTATTTACTATTTGTTTTTTTATCTCTAGAAATTTTAAAATAAAAATGTTGACAAAAAATGAAATATTATAATCTTCATTGAACGGTAATTCCTACTGTGAATGTGTATCTCTAGAAAAATGATAGTTGCTTGAAAATGACTTTGCTTCAGTAAATTTTAACACTAAACTAAGATATTTTAGACAACATAATTCATATTATGATTATTCTAGAGTGTAAAACTGATAAATATGTTTTTTTTTTCTTAATTGAAATTATATTATTAAATGAAATTAACGATACATTTGATTACAGTTAATAATTCAGTTTGTTTTCAAAGTATTGGAGAGAAGAAAAGAAAAACTGATAAAAATATTGTACATAACAAATATCATTTTTTACTTTCATGAATACGTTAAAATAAAATGTTTTTTTTTTCGTTACTTATTAAATTTAATTAATTATTTACAATTTTAAGTGTAATTTATTATTGCTTATGTAAATGACAAATTTGTTCAATGTTTAATCTATTAAATTTTCTTATAGATAATAATGGAAATGTTTCCATTTCTTGATACTCTTTTACATTTATATGCAGATAAATACGAACATCCTAGAGAAAAATTGATTGTCATGATTCATTAGACTTTTTGAAGTAGAGATTTTTTAATTGTGAAAGACGATGAAGTAAGAAATAGTTTTGTTTTTCAATCTCAGTTGATTAACTTTATGTTTTTTTTAGAATAATGAAATTATTGATTGGATAAAAAGCGAAAAAAATTCAATAGATATTAATTATTTTCAAGAGAATTTGATCATACAAACTGAACAATTTTTTGATAATGAAAATTTTTTTCTTCAATTTAAGATAAAAAGTATCAGATATAACACATTATCTTCAATT